TCACTGATGAAGAAACTGTCCCATGCTGAGTGGTGATGGCACACAACTTTAATCCCAGCACTCGGGAGGCAGAGGCAGGCGGATTTCTGAGTTCGAGGACAGCCTGGTTTACAGAGTGAGTTCCAGGACAGCCAGGGCTACACAGAGAAATCCTGTCTCAAAAAACCAAAAAAAAAAAAAAAATGCAAAAAACACCATGACCAAGACAACTTCCAGAAGGTTTATTTGAGGCTTACAGTTCCAGAGGCATAGGAATCCGTCCATCAGTATGGAAGCATAGGATTGGGGAGACAGAGTGCTGGAGCAGCAGCTGAAATCACATCCAGCTCCACAGACAGGAAGCAGAGAACCCTCTGGGGATAGCTGGTGGCTTTTGAAGCCTCAAAACCCACCCCATTGACACACCTTCTCCAACAGGGCCAAACACAATGAGGGACCAAGGATTCAAGCACAGTGAGCCTGTGGGGCCATTTTCATTCAGCCCACCACACTCCTCCATTGCTGCTGCTGCAAGTTGGTCAAGCTTTTTTTTTTTTGGGGGGGGGACAATTCAGTGAATATTTGTCAAAAATTTTAAAGCCCAGGGGGAACATGGTGGCATATGTCTGTCATCCCAGCACTTGAGGATCTGAGGCAGGCAGATGGAGAATGGGAAGTCCAAGGACAGAGGGAGGGAAGAGGGAGGAAGAGAGCTCAATATTTATAATAATAGCAAAATGAATTGATATAGCATGAATATTCACGAGGAGGGAGTAGGGGGGTGAGTTCCGGAAGCAGGTATAAAAAGCAGGACACCGCACACACTCAAAACATCTCTGGAAGGATACATTCAGTAGCACTGTTCTGTTTCTTTGTTAGGGTATCGTGTAGCCCAAACTGGCCTTGAACTCACCATGAAGTCAATGCAGGATCTGTACAGCTGATCTTCAGTGCCTCCTCCCTAGTGCCATATTATAGGCTTGTGCTACTACACTAAGCTCTGTGTGTGTGTGTGCATGTGCACAAGTATGCATGCCCATGTGTATGCATGTAGAGGCCAGAGGTCAATGCCCAGGGTCTTCCCTAACCACTCTCCTCCTTATTTTTAAACTTATTTTATTAATCATTAGTATGTGTGTGTGTGCACATGTGTGTGTGTTTGTGTGTCTGTGTCTGTGTGCGTCTGTGTGTGTCTGTGTGGTATCTGTCTGTGTCTGTGTGTGTATTCACCATGAAGTGGCAATCAGAGAACAGCTATGTGGAATAGGTTCTCTTGAACTTTTATGTAAGTTCCAGGGATCAAACTCTGGTTTTATTTATGTAGCAAGTATCTTTACCTGCTGAGACATGTTTCTAAGCTTCTACCTTATTATTTAAAAAATATTTTAAAAAATATTTTTAAAAAATATTTTATATGCGTGGGTGTTTTGCTTGCATGAATATTTGTGTATTACGTGCATGCTGTGCTGGTAGAGGCCAGAAGAGGGTGTCGGAACTCTTGGAACTGGAGTCACAAATGTCAGCCATCATGTGGGTGCTGGCAATCGAACCAGGGTCCTTTGGAAGAGCAGCCAGTTCTCTTTCTGGGCGGTGGGGATGGTGTTGAGGCATTATCTCACTGTGTAGTCTTGGCTGGCTTGGAGCTCACTATGTGGACCAGTCTGACCTTGAACTCATAGAGATCCACTTGCTTTTGCCTCCCAAGTGCCGGGATTAAAGATGGGTACAACCATACCTGGCCTGCACACAGTGCTCTTAACTAATGAGCCACCTCTCCAGCCCCCTCCTCTCTTTTACATTTTATTATTTTATCCTCTCACGGAACCTAGAGATAGCTCACTGATTGGCTAGACCGGCTGGACATCAAACCTCCCAGGAACCTCCCAAACTAGCTGGCTGAGCTTACAGGCATTCAGTGCTATAACTGTTTTTTTTTCCTTTGGGTGCCAAGGATCTGCTTAACAGAACTTTATCAAAGGACCACTCACTGTGGCCTTTTTTTTATTTGTAAGAGCAGGGTTTGCTAGATTTTCTTTTTTTTCTTTTTTTCTTTTTTCCTTTTTTTTTTTTTTTCGAGACAGGGTTTCTCTGTGTAGTCCTGGCTGTCCTGGAACTCACTCTGTAGACCAGGCTGGCCTCGAACTCAGAAATCTGCCTGCCTCTGCCTCCCAAGTGCTGGGGTTAAAGGCGTGCGCCACCACTGCCTGGCTTGCTAGATTTTCTTAATAGAACTCACTATTCTCCTGCCTCAGGATCCAGAGTGCAGAGATCATATGCCCACCTGCTCACAAGCTGAACCTTTTTCCTTTTCTCTTGCAGTAGTGAGGCTTGAACCCAGGGCTCTGTGCGTGCTACCACTTTGCACTTGACCACAGAGCCACATCCATAGCCTGCCTTTTTCCTTAAAGAGACATCTACTGACTACTGATATCTGCTCAGTCGCCTGAGTTAGGAGTGTCCCCAATGGCTGCACATCCCTTCCATTAGAGATGACAAAGTGACAATGGTCTGGAAATGTCACCGTGGCTGTGATTCCATCCATCACCACAGCGCTATTCTGTCCTGCCTGTCATACCCCCTGCTCACAGAAGGGGGCAACACAGACTTACGGAGACATTGTTCCCAACCGTGACAGCCAAGCCTTGCTGGTAGAATTTTCTCCATTGTGGCCCATGATTTGGGAAGATGCTTCCTATGAAGCCAACCAAACTGAATAGGTAATAATTGATTACATCTCCTTGGTAACCCACGTTCCTGGTCAGCAGGAGGGACGATGTAGGGTTGTTAATATGATCATTTTCCACACAAGAGGCCCTTTTCAGTTTAGCTTTATTTCCACCAGGTTTTGGGTGGGAGGTGGTTGGCAGCGAGGATGCAGGCTGGCAATTACTGCATTAGAGGCCTAATTTCTGGCTTCTCAGTGTCCCTAAAGCAATAGTGATGGGCAAGAGGAAGCACGGGCACTAGCAACTTCCACGCAGATACCCTCCCTCCCAGATGTTCTGAATCTGTTCCTTGCTAGGCTGCGAGCAGTCCGAGGTTAGAGACACCTTAAGAGTCCCAGAAACCCCATCACTAAGCAGACATCTGGGCACACAGCTGGGGCTCGAAGGAAACATTTGTTGACGAATTGAAAGAGACAGCTATGGAAGAATCAGGAAGTACAGTCTTTAAAAAATAAACAAAAAAATCTCTCAGCTACTTATCCCAGGCAAGGCCCAAGGGCACGGCTAGGGAAGATGGCGGAAGAGATGGACAGATACCCTCCCAGCAGGCTCAAGGAGACCCTGCTTTCACTCACCCTGGAAATCCCTGCTCAGGACATAAAAAGGGGACTGTATTTCTCCCGTGGTGACAGGGGTGATGGTGACCTTGGCAGGAGGAAGGCTTTAATCAGGTCAAGCCAGGGACAGGGCTGGTTTATGTCTGTTTTTCCTCATGATTAGATAATTAATTTCCCAGTTCCTGCTGAATCCTTTGTCAGTGGCTCTGAGTACGAAGTTGGGAGCTGGGGATGACCTAGAGTAAGCATTTAGACCCCCTGGGCTGGCACAGAGAAAGTTCAATGTTCCCTCAGTTTAGGGCACTTCACCCCATGGCATGGCAGTACAGGGAGGGGCCAACTCGAGAGCCCCACAACTTAAGTGGGGAACTAGAAGTGTTAATTCAGGTTGGAGTTTGAGCCCCGGTCCTAAAGGCCCTTCTCCACTCTCCCACCCTAAATAAGAGTTCGAGATCCAGGCTATGTAGATTTTGGACATGAATAGAAGAGGCCCGTTTCTGCTCTGATTAGCTGTGTGCCCTTGGACAAGTCCCCTTACCACTCTGTTCCTCCTTTCCCCATTACGGAAATGAGGACATCCATACCTACCTTTGCTGGTCACTGTCACAGAAATCTTTCTGTAACTATCAGCCAAGATTGTCATTTTTCAGTGTGAGGCCAGCCTAGGTCCCTTATGGTGATGGCGGCAAGATTTTCCTCCCCTCTGAAGTGCCTGTTCCTCCCCCAGCCTAGCAGCTGCCTTTAACCCTTCTTAGTGCCCTACTTCTCCTTGGCACCACCACAGTGGTCCCCAGGTTCTCCAACCTCATTTTCCCATGAGTGACCCCAGTCTAAAGCAACTGAAAATGCTGGCACAGTTACAGCCGGTCAAGTCTCAATTGACCTAGGTCCGTGTCCTCCAACCTGTTTGCAGATGGTTCCCTCTGGACCTCAGATCATCTCTGGGCCCAACGGAGAAGAGACACAGAGGTGGGGGACCTGGAAGGGGGTTCCCACCTTCTTAGTTGGGGATCCCAGAGGGGGACCCCCAGCAGCAATTATACCCCACCACCGCACCTCAGCGCCCCCTTAGGTCTCCAAGGCGCGCGCCCATTGGCTGGACAATCTTCCGCGCCGGGGGGGTCTGCCTCCTTCAGGCTCGGGCCTAGAGACCCCCTTACTGCCGGGCTCAGGGCGGAGAGCTGCGGTTCTAGGACCCGGAGGCGCCGGGCGAGGGCGCCGCCGTGTTCTCGGCCTCGCCTGGGTCGGCTCCGGCTCGGGCAGGTGCATCGGCGGCCACCCCCTCCGCCGCAGGTGCACCGATCGGCAGCCCCCGGCCGGAGCGCCATGGCTGCGGAGGACCCCCGGCCGGCGCCCGCGCCCGCCCCCTCCCTGCAGCCCGCCCCCCTGGGGCCGGGTGCGCGGCGGAGAACTGCGGTTTGCGCGCACCGGGAGCGGCAGCAGAAGTTCGAAAATCGCCGAGGGGGGAGCCCGCGCCACAGCTTCCTGCCCCCAGCCCAGCCCTCTGGCCCCGGCTGCCTGCAACCCGACTTCCTCCCCGAGCCTCGCTCGTCGCCCGCTCCCTCGGACGGGGCCGCCGCTATGGGACGCCGCGCCCCGGCCCCTGCACGCTGCTGAGCAGAGAGCCGCCTAGTCCAGCCCCGCCACCCAGCGCTGCCCTTCGCCCCTCGGCTCCCAGAGCCTGATCCGCGACCCCTAGGGAAAACTGGATCTCCGAGGCTGGAGGCGCCTGGCCGGCTGGGTGGGGACCACCATGGGCAACGCGGCTGGCAGCGCCGAGCAGCCCGCGGGCCCTACCGCGTCGCCCCCGAAACAGCCAGCCGTCCCCAAGCAACCGATGCCAGCTGCGGGGGAGCTGGAGGAGAGGTTCACGCGGGTCTTGGTGAGTGTGACCTGGTGCGCACCGGGAGCCAGGGATGACAGGGGCTCCGCATGCGTCCCCGCCTCTTGGGACTCAGGTGCCGCTTGGAGATCCCCGGTCCACCTGCAGTCCCTCCAGGGGGTGGGAGTGACAGTGTCATCTTTCAGAGTGACTTAGCACTACCTCCTCAAGAAACTTTCTTCATCCCCCTCCAATAAGCTTTCTTAAGAGACTCCCCCCTCCCCATCCTCTTCCTATGCTCCTAGGTCTAAAGGTGTCAAAAATGTCTCATGAGGTTGGGTTCCAATCTTGGATTCTTCTCATGAGCCCGGGGTGTGAGGGGGCTGGCGCCCACTTTTCCACTACACGCAGGCCCAGCGGCTGGGTGAAGGTCTGGAACACCTGCCCTTCTGCATCTCAGGGTCAAAGAGGAAAGGGGTTATAATTTAACCTCCTCGAAGTTGTAGACCTAGTGGAGTCTTTTAGTCCTGGGTTGTTCTGGTGTCTGGCATAGGAGTTGGACTCTGAGACGTTCCGCTCGTATTTATCATCCCCACCATGCCCCAGAATGGGTGCTTGCAGTATCCTCATCGTGGACCACCCCCAATCACCGAAAGGAGTAAGCTTAGGAAGGGTGGAGTCAGCATGGGTTGGTCCTTCTGGCTTGGAGTGGAACAAAAATCTGGAAGGCTCCCCTCCCTCTTGGCTGTCACTTGCTTGGGAAACTGGAGCAGGCAAGGGTGGGATAGAATGCACTAGAAGCTGAGGTTTAGGCCTCTGGGGAAGGAGTCATCAACCCCTTGAGCATGGAGCAATTCAAGTGTTTCTGGTAGGGTGGGCCGTGCAGTCACAGGTCCCGAAGAAGGGTGGGAGGCAGAAGTAGGGGAAGGGGAAAGGCCAGTTTTCACTTCCCCCTCTTCACTCCAGCACTCTTTCCTGCTGTCTTCTGTAGGTGGTTGCCCAGGGGGCCTGTGTACTGTTAGCCATCCCTGGCTGGACACGGGTGACTGTGGGGAAGGGTAGACTGTTTCCTAGAGGCCTTTTCCAGTCTCAGTAGGCTGGTGTTGCAGGTCTGAGGATGGGAGCCCAGGGGAGGGCTCATTCTGGAAGCAAAGAAGTGCTGGCCCTCTGTCCCCACACCTCTTAGATGGCTTTTCCACTCTCTGGCTAGCAAGTCATTAGGCCTGACTTGCTAGATTCTCTGCATGGTCCCAAAGGGGCAACAGTTCCTGAGAATCCTGACTCCAGAAGAAGGACAGGAGGAGCTTGGGGGGACCTCTGAGATGGGGTGGGTCTCTCCTTGTGAAGGTACAAGTATTTAACTTGGGGAATGAATAGGGACTTGGAGGGACATTTCGCACTAGGCTAGCCTTGGACTTCCCTGTTTTTCCACCTGCCCCTAACTCCCTTTCCCCCAAATCCAGACCTTGGCTGAGCTGAGCTGAGCAAGTGGGGGAGGGGGTCATATGAGGAGCCTGGCTGAGTGGTGGGCTCAGCCTGTCAGCGGAGGGCCTTGGATTCTTCTTTCTCTTCATGTGTCTATGGATAAGGGCTGGTTCTCGGCCAGTCTGTTTGGTCAGGTACACTAATGGGAAAGAGCTTTGTGAATAATTCAGACCAGTGGAAATTCCAAAAGTCAAGTGCAGGACTTGATTGCCCTGGGTGGATTTGGGTGTTGTAGTGATAGGAAATGCTGCTGGGAATCCCTGAGGGACAGGCCATGGAGGGAAGGTCAGGAGATGGACCTTCCAGTATGTCTCGGTGGCTTAGTGGAAGTCTAGGGCAGCGGTACCCACAGGGTTACCCATTCCTTTCAAGTCCCCTGGAACTCAAAGCTGTCCCTTATCCTTTGTGGGTGGGTAAACCCATCTTCAGGTCACAGGGTTGAGAACTGGCTTTTCTTGTTCCCTCACCGTTAGGGTCATGAGCCCCACCTGGATTAATGACCTGACCTCTGCTTAAGGCTACCCAGGGCTAAAGATTTGGTGAAATCAGGAGTTTACCAGTGGGTGTGGCTCCATCTGACCCCTACACCTGGAGTCTCGTGCAGTCTTTTGGGAATATCTAACACGAAATGACCTCAAGTTGTTGTGGGGGCCCCGCCCTACGGATTCCCCAGTGTTAATACGGGAACCCAGTTCCCCAGTCACATGGCCCTGGGAACCTGTCATTTCAGGCTTGGCCTTTTTATCTTTGGTAGGGAGTAGGATTCCCAACTCCCCAAACTTCCCCTTCTCTTAGCTACGGTGCTCTTCTTATGATTTGGGGTGCTTCCACCGGCCAGGCAAGGGGAGCAAAGAGATATTTTCCCTCCAATGGTGGATGATGGAGTTACTACCTTTCAAGAAGGCTATGGGAAAGGGGGGGTACCCTGCTTAAAATGGGGGTGGGGAGAAAGAGCAGGTTGAGCCAAGGTTTCGACTGCTGCCTTAGCAACCGCGGAGGAGCGATGGCTGCCCCATTACACAGGCCTGCTGTGGTGGTGGGAACACCAGCTCTCACCTCTCCCACGCCCATGCCCAGGGCTGGGTGTCTTCCAACACTTCCCTGTCTTCTCTGAGAGGTTTGCAGAGCAAAGGTTTGAGATGGCAAGCCACCCTGTCCAGGACAGCCCAGAGTCATTGCATGTGGCTGGCCACGGGGCCTGTGTGATCTGCCTGTGGACCTGGGTGAAGGAATAAGGGACAGTACCTAAAGATGTCTGTGTGAGGCTGAGTAGTGCTGTATCCAGGCAGGGCTGGATGAGGGTCTAGCTCACTGGGGGGCTCTTACTCATATCCAGGATGTGGGCACCTTATCAGGCAGTTTGGACCAGTCAGGACAGCTCCAAGAAGAATATAGGTCTTTGGAGTTCTATCTCCCACTTCTGGGGCTGGTGATGAAGAACAGGTCAGACATCTCTGCTTTGCTGAGCAGTGACAAAGGTGTCCCTTAGTGCTTGGGGTGTTACTCAGTCCCTGTGGACTGTCCCTTCAGTGGATCTCTGTGGGGTGTGGCCTTGTGGTTAGCTGTGGGGTTGGGCAGAGGCCATGGCTGGCATTCTCAGCAGGCATAGCTAGCACATGCTGACCCCAAGTGCAGGGCGGTGGGCATGATTCACATTGGCATCTGGGGTCAGTTGACAAAGGGCTGGAGGAGATGAGAAGGAGGTGTTTGCCCTTGGGCCACCTCTGCATTTTTCTTGAAAATCAAGATTCTGGAAGGTGGCTTGGTTCTCCCTGCCTTTGAAAGGGGTGGAGTTGGGGACGGTGGCAGCTTGGCAGATGACTTTCATCCTTGTTGCTTAATTCGTGTGTGACCTTGGGCAAATTCACATCTTTGAGCTCCAGTTTTTCTTCTGCGTAACAGGAGGATAATACTAATATGGCGGCCTCCTAGGATTTGGGAGGTCGAGGGCTCAGTATAGAGCCTACCGAGGAGCAAGTGCCAGTAAACGCTCTCTACAGTGTGCAAGGGGAGCTGTCCCGGGCCTCCCTAAGGCCCCGTGCCCCTCCCCCACAAGAAGATCCCAGGTTGCCCTGCATTACTGAGTCACCTCCAGGTCTCGGGCTAGCACAGGCCAGGCAGCCTCCTTGCCATTACACAGGTTAGAAGCACTGAGGCCCAGACTGAAAACTGCCTGGTGGCCGGAAACCACGAGAGGGAGGGCCCAGCTCCCCTGCAGGGTGGAGTAGCCTGGTGCTAACGGTGGTGGCAGCAGCAGCAGCAGCAGCGGTGTGCACACGAGGAGGGGGTGGGAGGCCTCTACTTCCCTACACGCATAGCGTGCTGGGGGGGGGGTTCCCCCAGTGAGTAAGAACTCAGTGTGGGCAACAACAGGAAGTGTAGGGTACTGGGTGGCAGGAAGCTACTCTGGCTGTTCCTGGTTTCTCAGACGGGGTAATTGGGGCTAGGACTGTCTGCAGTCAGGACCCCAGTGCCCTTATTTTGGGGAGAAAAAACCCCCAAACCTTGTGTTTTTAAACCACATTGTCAGCTAGGTCTCCATGGGCAAGTGACTTAATAGCTCTTTGCCTCAGTTTCCCATCTGGGACCTGGGGTTAAAATAGTAACTGGTGTGTTTGTTGTTGATGTTTAAATGAGTTGGTAATAAGTTACAATACTTAGAGAGAGGTGAGACCAGAGAAGTGTTAGGGGATATTTATTATTATTATTATTGTTGTTGTTGTCATTCTCTTGCTGGATTATATGGATGGTAAGGTGTGGTGTTCTGCTCCCCACTAGCTTTGACCTTTGTCCTCCTCTGGAGGACCTGGAGCTTAGGTAAGAGAAACTGGTAACTTTTGGGGTTCTCAGTCCCTGATGCAGGCTGGGTTACAGCATAGCTTCCTCTAAGCCCAGGACTGCTTGTAAGGGCTCCCGTCAAGCTGTATCCGGGATTTTAAGTGATGCGTGCAATTGTTTCTGCACATGTGCAGACAGCTTGAGTGCCAAGGTGGATACCTCACAGACGTGGCGGGGAGAACAGAGGAGCCTCGGGATCTGGACTGTCATGCTAATCTCTGGAGTTACCTGACACTGGGGTCCACATTCAGGAGCTTCCTGGACCTCAAGGGGCAGGGCTGTGGGGAAGGGGTGGGGTAGTGGGATGGCGCCCAGATTTTGTGAAAGCCGAAAGCAAAACTGTAGGGTGTGGTCATGTCCAGATGTGGCCAGAGCCCCGAGTCTCCTGGGACAGTGTCTCAGAAATCAACAAGGTCCACGGTGCCAGGAGTTGCAGGGTCATAGCATGAGTCTGCAGCGGTGGGGCTGGCTGAACTGCAGCTGGGGCCTGTCTCTCTGTAGTCTCCAGAGGTCAGGACAGGGAGAAAAGGTTGTCCCCACATAGCCAAATAGGAATATGAATGAAATTAATTCTGTTTCTTCATTTATTTTTGAGGGTTTCCAGACAGGGTTTCTCTGTGTAGCTCTGGCTGTCCTGAGACTCACTCTGTAGACCAGGCTGGACTTGAGCTCAGAGACCTGCCCGCCTCTGCCTTCTGCATGCTGGGATTTAAGGCCTGTGCCACCACTGCCTTTATTTATTTATTTATTTATTTATTTATTTATTTATTTATTTATTTATTTATTTGTATACCTTGTGCTGCTGTGGGACCAGTCTGGGCTCACTCAAGCTTGGAGCTATCTTCCTATCTCTGTCTTCACAGTGTTGGGATGATGATAGGTCTGTGTCTAATGTCCAGAGTCAGCACCTGTGTGGCCACATCTCACCTAATTAACCCCATCTGCTTCCTCACCTGGCCTGAAGCAATGGGACAGTGAGGAAAGGGAGGGTACAGGTTTGGCCAAACATCTCCCAGACCTTGAGGTCTTCGATGGACCCCTCCAGTTTCCTGTGCCCCACACTTATAAGATGCTTCTTCCTAGTGATAGAACACCAGAGAATATTATATCACAACTGTGCTTCTGAATATTCCTGGGCCCTCTGGGAGTGTGAAGGTAGGCTGGCCTGTGCCCATTTTATGGAGGAGGAAGCTGAGGCTGACAGGCCAACAGGCTGTCAGACTAGGTGGGCCCAGAGACCCAGAGTAGGTGGGTGTTTTGAACTTAGCTTCAGTTTTTCTGCATCGCAGCTGCTGTCCCTCCTTCATCCAATCAGGAGGCAGATGTGCCAGTCACACATGTAGACTATCTATCCCTTCCTGTCCTATTTGAACAATGCCAGTCATCCTTTTGCTTAACCTGGTCCCTGCTCACTGGGCTACCTCTTTGCTGAATGCCCTCGTAAGGGGTTTGGTTCCTGCCCTGAGGGTGGCCCTGCCTCACCCTGAGTGAGTGGCATTTGGTAGCCTATCTCCCGCTCCCTGGATACCCGGCTCCTTGGTGGGCACAGCCACAGCCGGGGAACAGCTGCTAATGAGTGTCGAGTGCTGTCAGAGCTATTTCTGATTTCTGAGCCTAAATTTAGCTTGTCTGGCAGGCTGGCACGTGGGCCCGGGGCCCAAAAAGTCCCAGGTAGCTTAAGGAACAAGGGACACCCTGCCTTCTGCCATTGTTGAGACAGGTCCATCAGGCAGTTCCATGCAGAGGTTGTCTGTCCTTGGCACTAACTCTGGAGTGGCCCTGAGGGGTATGAACCCTGGTTGTGGCTCAAAACCTCACACACACACACACACACACACACACACACACACACACACCTGTCTTCACAAGGTAACCTTGGGCGGGTCATTAAGTTAATTTGTGCCTCTAAGATAGGCTAGTCACAGTGTCAGTGATGGTGGTCAGGACAGGAGGAGGTCAGTGCCTTATGATGTTATTGAAATCTGAAGTAGTCCCGGGCCATTCTAGAGCCACACAGGTCTCCTAGGTTAGTAGGGCTCAGACATCTCATGACAGAGATGCTGTCCTCTCTAAGGCTCAGATCCTGAAGTTCAGCATCCTCTTCATCTCCCTCCTTTGTGGTGGCCCTGGACTCAGGGTCTTGTGAAGCCCGGCTTCCTACTTCCTCTTCCCCCTGGCCTTGCTGCACCTCAGCCTCCTTTCCCACCCCCAAGAAAGACAGAGGAAAAGTAGGTTCCTAGGTCCCCTGAAGCAGAGTAGGCCCCACCCCACAGTCTTCAGACCCCTTTAGGAAAGACTCTGTCATGCAGCAGGAGCAGGCCTGATGTAGTTTCCTCAGTCCAGGCTCACTTTCGAAATGGGGACAGGGATGACGTACCTCAGCCCCCGGCTGGCCTTGGAGTGTGGTGGGTGGGCAGTTTCACCTCATAAGTAGGGCCCCAGCCGGAAAGCTTAGGCAATGGGGGCTGACAACCCAGCTTCCTGTTCTCCGAGGATGAGTCAAGACAGTGATTTTGGGGCGAGGTCTGGCCAGAGCCCCAGACCTAACCCTGCCACCCAAGAGAGGAAGCTAGCTGTGGAGTCTCCAGTGGGTGTGGCTCCTTCTCTGCTCCAGCCATGGCCTCTTCTCAGAGCCAGGGTCAGAGAGTGTATAGCCTGAACTACCAGAGTGGGTATCAGACAATTCCCAGGCCTTGGGCTGAGCTCCTTGGGGGCTCCTGTGTCCATGGTGGAGACCCAGGCTAAACTGAACTCAATGAAGGCAAAAACTGGCATGGGGGGACTGACATAGTTAGGTCCTCATTAGACTCGAGGTTTCCTGGATTGGGGTGAGCTGGCCTTGATCTCTAGGTCTGTTAGGCAGACTTGCTAGGCCCTGGGGATACTAAGACCCCTGCCTCCAGCAACACACGCTCGAATCCACAGGCCTGGCTGAGCTGTACATATGACTTGTGACAAGAACGTGCGGCTAGGGGGAAAGGCCTTGCGGGGAGTACTGCTGATTTATCTTAGGTGTGCGAGGGAGAGTCCCAGCCTGGGCCAGCGGTACCTCAGGCCCAGTGTTGTGCCCATTCTGTGATGGAGTGACTTCCGTTGCTCAAATCTCCCTACCTCTGCAGCTGCGACATACCTGTCTGGGACTCCCTGCTGGATGGCACACTGCTCTAAGCCCCCTCGACCTCCTGGTGACCTGGGCCTAGTCTGCGCACACAAGGTGCTTGATGGGTGTAAGACCCCGGCAGCAGGTCCCAGCTGGACCTGTCTGGAGATGACTTCCCTGCTGTCCTCACTCAGATGGGGGTAGTGACAGTGTCCCCTGAGCTCCAGTGGAGCCTAGAGGCTTTGGAGATCCCTGAGGAACGCACATAATTGTCTCATGCCATGTGTGCCAGGAGAAGATGTGTATGGTGGCTGGGCCTAGTCACACTTGGAATCAGACCCCAGGTTCCTTTCCGCCTCGGGGGCCCTGGGAGCTTGGGACCTTGGGGGAAGATGGCCCTACCTCTCTGGGCTTTGATTTTCTCCCTGGACAACACTGCTTATCTGCCGGGGTGAGAGGACAGCACATCTTTGAGGGAGCACTGTGGAGTCCCCGAAGATGGCCATTCTCTCTCGGGCTCAGGGGCCTTTGTCTTCCGTCTCCTCAGAACTGTATGAACTTGCCGCCAGACAAGGTCCAGCTGCTGAGCCAGTATGACAATGAGAAGAAATGGGAGCTCATCTGTGACCAGGTGGGTGCCTAGAAGGCTCGGCTGCCCTTGCTTCTGCTCTTGGGGAACCCTGTTCTGAGGATGCAGGAGCTGGCAGGAGAGGGGCCTGGCTGCTGTTCAGGGTAGATATTAATCTACTGGGGTGGCTGGGGGCCCACACAGGACTCTATTCCCTTGAAAGGCCTGATGAGCAACCACTGGGGGTCATCAGCAGGGTGTGTCCTAGACAGCTGGCAGCGGCTGCCCCTGATGTTCTGCACTGCTGGGGACTGAACCTAGGGCTTCATGCATGCTTAGTAAGCAGTCTTCCACTGAGCTACGTCCATAGCACTTGGGTTTCTGTTTTTGAAACTGAGTCTTGCTATGCAGCTTAGGCGGGCTTCAAACTCGTGTTCCTTCTGCCTTAGCCTTCAGAGACATTACCATTATTCAGAGTTACTGAGATTACAGGTGTGGGTCTCCATGCCGGGTGGCTTGTCTCTCCTACTCTGGGCTGAGAAAAAGAGGAAATATCCCTGCATTTAGCCAACTGGAGGGAGAGGAAAGAGCAGGTACCCTGTCTTTTTCTTCTGAAGTCAAGGGAGACACAGTCAAGCAATTGTCTCCAAGAGCGGTCAGGTCAGAATACTGTGTCAGAGCCCAGGCCAGGCCCTAGGTTCACTGAGTGGCTCATCTCTCCAGCTGCTGGGGGCCCGGGCTACTCTCCTCCAGTGTGGAGGTGGAGAGGGTGGAGACTGGCTTCTCAGCCAGGATCATGAAGAGGAAGAGGAGCTGCTTTCCAGCTGAGGCCTGGAGGCTGGGAGGTAGGGAGTTGGGGAGAGGAGCCCCTTGGCTTCCCCCAGAACCAGCAAGCCCTTCCACTAATGGACGGTGACTTACCAGCTGGGCATCCATCTTGGTAATGCTGGGCCACGGCAGAGTTGGGAGTGCTCTAAAGGTTCTGGAGCTGCACTTGGTGTCTCTGTTGAAGGGTTCTGCCTGGATTCTCAGAGGGGCTTGAAGACTGCAGAGTAGAAGGTAGAAGAGGGTGTCTGAGCACATCTGAGGGTTCTGGGCTGGGAAGGGTAGGAGCCTTGTGGTAAGGTGCCCCTCTGCTGTGATCCCTACTTCCATGTGAAGACCTGAGGCAGTGAAATATAGGAAAAGAGCACACACAGGCACCTACCTAAGCAGAGGACAGGACAGCTGTCCTGGAGATGGGCTGTCTGCCTGCCAGGGAGTTGATCCCTGCCTAAACTTTACACTCTAGTCCGGGAAGGGCAAAACAGGCCTGAAAGAATAACCCAAGGCAGGGCCTGTGACTGGACTGGCCTCTGTTCCCCTGGCCCCAGGGAAGGCACAAACCATGCATGGGGCTAAGGTCTCCCACATGTCCAAAGTTTGTGCCTTTGGTATTTCAGAAGCAGTTTAAGATGGCCTGAAACCTCAAGTCAGAGATGAGAAGGAGTATTGGGAGGAAAGCTACCCAGTGGTCTTTGGGCAGCTGTGATGGGTTCTCTGTACACTCCATTCATACCCCCAGGAGCGGTTTCAAGTCAAGAATCCCCCTGCAGCCTACATCCAGAAGCTGAAGAGCTACCTGGATACCGGTGGGGTCAGCCGAAAGGTAGCATCTGATTGGATGTCCAACCTGGGGGTATATATATCTCCCTTCTTATTCTCCCCCTTTCTATTCTTCACCCTCCAAATATGTATATGTGTGTGTGTGTGTGTGTGTGTGTGTGTGTGTATAGTGTCTCATATGTGCTTACACAGGCATTCCTGTGTGTATTTGTATTATGTATATACATATGTGCACCCTGTGTATTTATGCATAGACACATGTGTATGGTAGGTGTGCATGATTTGGGGTTTGTAGGTATATTTGTTCTTGTGTATCCCTGAGTCCATACATAGACAAAGGAGAGAGAGGAAGAAAAAAATGGATGTATATGTGTGTATCCCATATATAAACAAATGGGCATGTAAGTAGGTGCCCTGTGTGTACATATCGGGGTTTTCCTGTGTGGATGTGCATACTTGTGTTCAATGTGTGCATGCCCAATATGTCTGTGTAGAGCTATGCATGTGTGTGTGTATACTGGATCTCTGGATAGAGATATGTCTGTGCACCCTATATCTTCAAACGTGTGAATATACCCTCTATGTTGGGGGAAGGCATGTAGTCCACGAGTAGTCATTCTGTTGCACAGGTGTGTGGAGGTGGCGAGGGAGGCTAAACGTGAAAGGCCTTGAATGCATGCTGGGGGTGGATACTTCTGGCCGATGCCTCAGGACAGTGGGAGTCTGGGTTCCACCCACAGACTCCTTGTTTTCTTGCCCCCAGTTTAAGAGGCGAGTTCAGGAGTCTACACAGGTGCTTCGGGAGCTGGAGACTTCCCTGAGGACAAACCACATTGGGTAAGCTTAGGAAAACTCTGACTCTGGCAGCCTCTGGGGCTTTCCAGCCTCTCCATCACGGGCTGGCCCTGGGGACCATTTCCTTCCTCTCCTGTTGCCTGGGCTGGATTTCCACACACAGCTGGGCTGTGGGTCCTGCTTAGGTCCTCGGCATCCCCTGATATCCCTGGGTCTCTTGAGGGTGGGGGATGGTGTTATGTTCTGGGGCAAGGGCAGTCAAGGGCTCTGGCTTTGCCTGCTCATTGCTCGCTTGGGCAGAAGCCTTTCTGGGTGTAACTCAGAGAACCTTGTGCTCTGCAGGTGGGTGCAGGAATTCCTCAATGAAGAGAACCGGGGCCTGGATGTCCTGCTTGAGTACCTGGCCTTTGCCCAGTGCTCTGTTGCGTAAGCTCCTTGTCCCAACCCTCATGCTTCCTCTCAGTGTCCTGATCACACATTCCTGGGCCTCCACTAGACCTCTGAACAGGAACTGATCTCTTCCCCTGTCCCAGGAAAGCTGGACTTGGCCCTGGGCAGTGGTTCTTCTGAAGACCTGCCCTTGCCCAGAAGGGATCTTCCTGCCCCTTCAGTGTGCTCCCCGCAGAGCTATGGATGAGCTGGGCGTGGTGCAGATCTCTAATCTCAGAATTTGGGAGGCAGAGACAGGCAGAGGTCCATGAGTTCTGGCCAGCCTGATCTACATAATGAGAGCCTGTCTCAAGAAACAAAAAACAGGAATGAGAGGCATGAATGAATGCAAACTCCACCCCCCTTACAGGGGGAGATCTCTCCTGTAGATCTGTCTTGCTTTGCATGTCCCTCTGTCCCCTCTTTAAGTGTCCCTTGTGGTGGGAGCCTCCAAACTCCTTGCGTCGCATCTCCAGGTATGACATGGAAAGCACAGAAAATGTGGCCTCTGGTGCAGAGAAGAGCAAGCCCCTGGACCAGTCTGTGGAAGACCTCAGCAAGCCTCCACCTTCATCTGTGCCCAAGAGTCGCCTGACCATCAAGTATGCGGGCCCCAGATGGGGTGATGGGGAATGGAGAACAGAGACCCCCATTGCCACATCTAAACAGGGCCTGAGGGTCGGTGGGAGGAATAGTTCAGCATGGAGGAATCAAATGTGTGAAGTTTTCAGGTGGAGAGACCAGAGGCTAGAATCTGAGGGGGACTGGAATAAGTAGGGGGTTGGGGGTTGAGGGTTGGTAGGATCCCTTTTGTACCTCTCTAACCCCTTGTTTCTCCCTGTGCGGCCTCCAGGTGCCCCCCTTCTCCCCGGTACGTACATAGTCACCAGGGGGCAGGTGCATGCTGGGGGCAGGTGCATGCTGGGTCCACTCTGTGGGTGGTGGGTTGGAAGAACAGTCAGCTGATACCCCTGAGTTCATCTGCTGTGGCTCGGTCTCCTCATCCTGACGTAGGACATCTTACCATCTTGTTGGGATGTAGGGAGGGTGAAGGAGATAACCCTGGCATATCAGCTTCCTCTATTGGGTCTGAGGGACCAAATATATGTTTATTTATTTGTGTGTGTATATATCTGTAGTATGGTATATGGGCAAGTGTGTGTGTGCCAATAGCTGACCCAGAAAAGCATGGCTTTTACCTGGGTGCTGGGGATTTGAACTCAGGTCTTCATGCTTACACAGTAAATGATCTTACCAACTGGCTATCTCCACAGCCATCCATATATATATATATATATATATATACATACATACATATAAATATACATGTAAATACATATTTACACACATACATACATATGTGTGTGTGTATGTGTGTGTGTGTGTGTGTGGTATTGGGACTTCAGTCCAGGGCTTCAGGCATTACAGGCAAGTACTCTTCCAATGAGCTACACCCCTTAGCCTGGAACAACCGTATATTAAGCCCCAAGACCTCACACTATGTTTCTTTCCTTCTTCATTCATTCACGGAGCAAACAGTTTTTTAGACACTAAATAGCACCTATTAGTGGCAAGTGGTCACATGACAGGTAAATTCTGCTTTGGGAGGCCTCAGTCTAGTGGGAATACAATTTAGTGTGATAACAGAGATGTGATCTGGATTTCTGAGAAAGGAGGTGTCCGCTTCTTGGGGGGGGGGTGGTACCAGGAAGACTTTCCAGAGGAGGTGACACCGGAACTGTGTCTGACAAACGACAGGCTTGTGATCGGCAAGTGATGGGGACAAGGAGGAGCAGCATGAACAAAGACTGAGACATATTTGAGCAATCTAGGAAAGGCTGATGTGGCAAGCAGCCTGGAGGGCTCAGTTGGAGAGGTGGGGCTGGCCAGTGTGGCGGCAAGACTTACAGAACTGTCCAGAGGCACGACATGCAGAAGATATGGTTTGTGGCTCTCCAAAAATGAAAACCTCAAAAAATTTGTTTGCGGGGGTTGGGGGGAAAGCAAGAATAACAGAGAGAATACCCAGTATGCTCCTTACTGGGTGCCAGGCTTATTACATAATTCGAACTAGCCTGTGAAGGTGTTCCCAAAGCTGAGGAAATGGCCCAGTTAGAAAACGCTCACCTTGCAAGCGTGAGGACCCAAGTTCAGTCCCTGGCACCCGTGTAAAAAGTTGGTTACAGTGGTGTGTGCTTACAATCCCAGTACTGGAGAGACGGAGAGGAGACAAGCCCTAGTGCTCAGTGGCCAGACGACCGAGGCTCATTGGCAGGTAGCAGGTCCCAGTGAGAGATGTCTCAAAAGAACAGACCGGGGGCTGAGGAGACTGCTTGGTGGGTAAAGTGCTTCTGTAGACGTGTGTGGACCGGAGTCTCCGTCTCTAGTGCCCATATAAAAACTGGGTCCAGCTGCGTGCACCTGGGTCACGCTCAGTGCTGGGGAGAGAGGAGGACAGCTGGCGCTTGTTGGCTTGGCAGTCACGTGGGAATAGTGAGTTCTGGGTTTAATAAGAGACCCTGTTTCAAAAACAAGTAAAGACTGATAAAGGAAGGTACATGAAGTGACTGTCTGGCCTTCACACACACACACACACACGCACACATACACACACATATACACACACATACACATACACACACATATACACACACATACACACATACACATGCACACACACACATGCACACACACACACACACACACACACACCCCAAAGTAAAAAGCTTCTGAAGAAAGAACGATGGTCAAGCTTCTCTGGTCTGCATGTGCACATGCCCACCCGCATACACAGCTACACCTCTGCACACACATGACATGTACACGTGTGCTCATACAAAGATGGTATCTATTATTGCTGGGTATGGTGACATATACCTGTAAAGGAGGCCAGCCTGGGCTACATGAGACTTTTGTCTCATTCCCCCTGACTCCCCCAATATGGAACTAATGTTGTCATTCACTTTAGTAAAGTAGTGAGCTGGAATGTTTTTGAATCTAGGCACTTTGAGTTTAGTCTGCCTCTCAAGATGGAAGATGGGCCCAAGTGATTGTGAGCGCCACCTTGTGGCGATATTATGGTTGTCTAGCTGTTTCCAAGCTTTGTCCATCTTTATCTTCGATTGGCTTTCTACTCACAAGCTCCCCTCCCTCTCTTCCTCCCTCCTTCCTCTCCTCCCTCCCTCCTTTCTTTTTTGAGACAGGCTCTCATGTAACCGAGAAGCTCCCTACTATGTAGCCAAGGCTGGTTTTGAGCTCCAGTCCTCTGCCCTTACTTCCCAAATACTGGAATTACAGGCATGTGCTATCATGCCTGGCTCACAGTAGCCCCTTTAAAAACCAAGTCTTCGTAAGGGCCTTTGCTTCCTTGACCTACACTCACTACCTCCTCCAGCATGCCCGCCCCTGGGGAAGGCTGCCTTCAGCTGGCCAGCTAAGTCAGGTAGATAGGAGACAGCGGCTTAGAGGTCCACATCTATCCCCCTCACTCCAAAAGGCGTCTTACTGGTATGGGGGAGCAGGAAGCTAGGGATTGGGGGTCTGACCCCGCTGTCTTTTCCACATCCACCAGGCTGACCCCTGCCCACAGCAGGAAGACGTTGAGGAATTCCCGAATCGTCAGCCAGAAGGACGATGTCCATGTATGCATCATGTGTCTGAGAGCCATCATGAACTACCAGGTCAGCTGGCGGCATGGGATTGGGGCCTCAGGAGATGGTTTGTTCTCCTGGGACCTGTGTTAGCTGCTGATGTCCTAAGACCACATGTCATTCTCACCCGGAACCCTACGAGCCTGGGGTCTGGGCTTTGGTGGGAGTCTGGAGGCTGGGAAGTTTTGAAGGAGAGCCCTAGGTTTTATTACCTTCATGTCAGGTCTGCTGAAATGGCCTTGGGTGTGGTGGGGGGGCAGCGTAGGCCTCAGATGGGATCAAGGAGGGTTGGGTAGTGGAGTCCATGGGACAGTAGGCTTGGCCATGGCACTGGGAGGGACAGCTGGTACGGCTCCACTTCTGTGCTTCATCCACCTTTGTAAACTTCCTTAAAACGTCATGGGGTTTTGACATGTGTGATTTTTTTTTTTAAGTAACTCTTTCCTGGCTGTCCAGCATCCTAGATTACAACTTTGTATATGGCCATTGTCAAAAGGTTGGGCATGCCTGCACAGTTTCGCTACATCCAGGGTGCTTGACACTGGCTTTTGAAAAGACGAATGAACTTGGAAAGGGGACAGGGTTGGGCCTTGGCTTCTTAAGAGGAGGTGATGGCTGGATGTGAGGGGCTTCCTAAGCTCTGAGCACTAGAGGCCAGAACAGCACGGCACAGACTGACTATGCAGGAGGTGTTGGCTGTTCTGAAGACCTGCCTGAGGTACTAACCTCTCCTCTCTCTCTAGTCCGGCTTCAGCCTTGTTATGAACCACCCAGCCTGTGTCAATGAGATCGCTCTAAGCCTTAACAACAAGAACCCCAGGTAAGGTCTATATTCCTAACTGGTTTTCTACTTCTGTCCTTGCAAGAACTCTATCCCCTATCGTCAGGCCTGCTGCCCAGGCTCACCCCAACCCAGCTCCCCTGTCCTTCCCCTTTTCTTCTCAGAACCAAGGCTCTGGTCCTGGAGCTGCTGGCGGCTGTGTGCCTCGTGCGGGGTGGGCACGACATCATTCTTGCGGCCTTTGACAACTTCAAGGAGGTATTGGACCCCCTCCCAAACCTACTTGTTCTTCTAGGACTGCTTGGAGTCTGGCTGCCAGAAACTGTGGCCTCTGATAGGGAATCTGGAGACACAGGGTGGGTGTTTGGGAAATACAGAGGAGACTGGATAAGGAAATTCAGAATGGAAGGTGTAGTCAGCAGGGGCATTGCCTAGGGCAGTGGTTTCAGCCTAATGCTGTAACCCTTTAGTACAGTTCCTCATGTTGTGCTGACCCCCCATAAAGTTATTTTGTTGCTGCTTCACAACTGTAATTTTGCTACTGTTATGAATAGTAATGTTACGAGCTTACAAGAGGTTCGTGCAGAGTGACATGCTAAATAATGTGGCTACGACAGGGCTGGAAATACGGCTCAGTAGTTAAGTGTGCTCCCTGCCTGCTGGTAAGGATCTGAGTTCAGATCCAAGCACCCACGTTAGAAGCCAAGGTCTCTAACCCAAGACCGCAGGGAGAGGGGACTGACTGCTTGCTGCTGTTTGCTGGTTTCCAGCCTAGCTGAGGAAAAATGGCCCCCAGGTCCAAGGAGAGAGCCTGCCTCATAGAAATAGGCAGAGTGATAGAGGGGACACCCATGCCTTCTTCTGGCCTCTGCATGTGCACACGGACACATGCCACTCCCTCCCCTGCCACCATCGACACATTCACACACACACACACACAAACTCACTCAAAAAATGTTTTAAGGCAGGGTCTCACTTTGCAGCACTGGCTAGCCTGGAACTCGATATATAGACCAGGCTGGCCCTGAACTCACAGAGATCCACCTGCCTCTGCCTCCTGAGTGCTGGGATGAAAGGTGTACCCCACCATGTCCAGTCCATCAAATACTCTTTAAAGCTGGAGATGAGTTAAGCAGCTTGGCCCAGGCATGTGGGAGGTAGAGCCAGGAGGACTGGGACTGCAAGGTCATCACTGGCTACACAGTGAATTCAAGACCAGCCTAAGCTACAAAACAACAGAAAAAGAAAACTTAAGCCAAAGCAAAAACCAACCCAGCACAGACTCTGTCTCAAAATGGGGTTAGGGGACTGGATGCATTTATTTATTCTTTTACTAACATTCACTGTGGTTGATTATATACCAGGCACAGAAGCAGGCCCTTAGGATACATTAGTGAGCAAAACAAATGAGAAAGCACTGGAGGGCTGCGATAGTAATACTCACTCAATAAAGCACTCCCTTTGTAAGGACAAGGATCTGAGTCCATGAGCCCACATAAAAAAGCTGGGTTTGCCATGCATGGTAGCACACACTTTTAATCCCAGCACTCCAGGGGCAGAGGCAGGTGGACCCTTATGACTACCACATAGGCATGGCTACATAGTGGTAACAACAACAACAACAACAACAACAGCAGCAGCAGCAGCAGCAAGAATCTAAGGGACTGGAGAGATGGCTCAGTGGTTAAGGGCACTTGACCTTGCAGAGAACTCTGGATTGATTCCAGTGCCCACTTAGCAGTTGACAACTGCCCATAACTCCAGTTCCAGGGGATCTGATACATTTTTCTGACCTCTGCAGGTACCAGGTCCCTTGCATATACATACACACTCAGATACTTAAAATAAAATAACTCTTTTTTTTAAATGAGCCAGGTTTAGTGGCACATGATTTTAATTCTAGAGGCAGTGGCAGGCAGTTCTCTGGAGCTCAGTGACAGCCAGCCAAGCCTACTCTGTGAGCTCCATGCCACCGAGAGACCCTGTCTCTCAAAACAAGGTGTGAGGCTCAGTGAACCTGGACTCTGCACCTACTAGGAGGCCCACAACTGCCTGTAACAGTTCCAGGAGATCCACCGGTGCTCTTGGCTTCTGCAAGCACCCACATGCATTTTTTTGTTTGATCTGATTGTTTTTGAGACAAGATTTCTCTATGTAGCTCTGGCTGTCCTAAAACTTGCTCTATAGACCAGGTTGGCCTCAAACTCACAGAGATCCTCCTGCCTCTGACTCCCAAGAGCTGGGACTAAAGGCGTGTGCCACTATCACTGGCTTCATATGTACATTTTACACATCTATTCATGCAGGGACAAGCATATACTAAGTAAGTATTAAAACCAACAACGGCAACAAAGATGGATTCGCTCCTGAAGAACAACACCCGAGATTGATTTTTGGCTTCCACACATATGCATACACGTACACATGCATGCACACGCATGCACACACATACATGCACACACACACGCAAGCACACATGTACACACACGCACACAGACACACGCATGCACACACACATACACATGCATGCACATACATGGATCCACATGCACACATATGCATACACATACACACATGCACACACATATACACGCATGCACACGCCTATAATGAAAAGGCTGGAAGTAGCTAATAAATGAGCAACATATGTAGTATTAGAAAATGCTAAATGGTTGGGCAGTGGTGGTGCATACTATTAGTCCTAGCACTGGGGAGGCAGACGCAGGAGGACCTCTGTGAGTTCGAGGCCAACATGGTCTACAGAATGAGTTTCAGGACAGCCTGGTCTCTACACAGAGAAACCCTGTCTTGAAAAAGAAAAACAAAAACAAAGCTAAATGTAATGGGGAAAAGGTTGCCACGGGAGAGGGAACTGGTTGTAGCGAAGGCCTCATTGAGAAGGTGAAACTTGACCAGGCAAAGCTGGGAAGAAGCTGGGGGATTGGGTGTGGTGATTCTCTGTGATAGCATACCAGGTGGTTAGAACAGTGTGAATTCACCCAAATGCTAGTGCAGCCAGCGTAGGGTGTATGAGATTAAGAGGGAGTGGTGTTGGAGGCAGAAGAGTGGCCAAATTTGGATTCAACTGGAGAGGAACCTGTAGGAGCACAAGGGCAGCATCGGGAAGACGGCACAGGAGGTGTGTGACCTAGTTTTCAGTGTCCGCCATTCTCCCTCTCCAGGTGTGCGGGGAGCAGCACCGATTTGAAAAGCTAATGGAGTATTTCCGGAATGAAGACAGCAACATTGACTTCATGGTGAGATTGGAACCCTGGGGACTGAGGATCAGCTGGGCCCTATTGCATGCTGGGAGCAGAGTGGGACTCTGGGTAGCCTGGCTCAGCAAAATGACAACCAACTAATTGTCCAAGGGAAAGGATAGATGTCAGAGGAGAGGAGACTGGACCAAGGGGACTTGGATGTTACAAGACTGAGTTAGTAGAATGCAAACTGGAGAGAGAGAGAGGAGTAGGGTGGGGGAGGCAGGCTTGGGGACAATTGGGAAGGGCAGGTATCAGCACCTACTAGAATCCTGAGATTTGCTTCTGCTCCTGGCCCCTAGGTGGCTTGCATGCAGTTCATCAACATTGTGGTACACTCTGTGGAGAACATGAACTTTCGTGTCTTCTTGCAATATGAGTTCACTCACCTGGGTCTGGACCTGTACTTGGAGGTGAGCCTTGTACCCCACCCCTGTCTCCCATGACTGAACAGTCCACCCACTGTGGGGTATTTAGTATGTAGTTAGCAGGTCTTGAGTTCAAGCCCTAGCTCTGAGAGCTGGGCTTGGTGGAACATACCAGCAATCATAATCACTTGGGACATGATATGAACATGTTCATGTTCAGTCTGGGGTTCACTGTCCCCCCATGCAAATGATAAAACCCCACAAATAAACAGAATCCTACCCCTGTCACTTGCTAGCTGTGTGACCTTGTATGCATCTATTCATCCTTCTGAGCCTGTTTGTCTGTCAATCTCAGAAGTGACAATGACTCCAAATGTGTAGAGGAGCCCCTGGTACATGACGGATACTATAACATCTGTCATTGAGGTCCTGGAACAGGCTCAGGTGGCTCTGAGTGTGACCCAGGAGCATCGGTCAGATGCTCTGACCCCAGCAGATGATGGGGAGCCCAGAGATACTAGACAGGTGGGGAGCTGGCTCAGGCTGGAGGTCTGGGTCTTGGGAAGAAGGAAGAGAGGAACTTGTGAGCAGAGAAATCACAGCTTCTGGTCTGGTTCCTCTGGGAGGCTTTCTAGAGGGGTGAGGCCTTTGGGGTTGGCTTTCTGAAAGCTAGGACTGGCTAACGGGGGCAAGGCTGGTATAGCCGTGCAATAGGATATGATACATCTGGATCAAGGATGTGCAGTCTGACATCGGCTTCAGCATGGCTGATCCTTAAAAGGAGAGAGAAGTCAGATGCAAGAGGCTGAGTACAGGGCTGGAGATTGTGTGGCAATTAAGGGCACTCACTACTGCTGGAGAGGACCCAGGACCCTCTGCCGCTCCCAGCACCCATATCTGGTGGCTTACAATCTCCGGTAACTCCAGTTCCAAGGGATCAGATGTCCTCTTCTAGTCTCTGAGGATACCTGAACTCATGTGTTGTCCATAAACTCATACAGACACACACACACACACACACACACGCTTAAAAAATAGTTGAATATTATATGACTTTTAAAAATAAGAAATCAGCCGGGCGGTGGTGGCACACGCCTTTAATCCCAGCACTTGGGAGGCAGAGACAGGCGGATTTCTGAGTTCGAGGCCAGCCTGGTCTACAGAGTGAATTCCAGGACAGCCAGAACTACACAGAGAAACCCTGTCTCGAAAAACCAAAAATAAATAAATAAATAAATAATAAAATAAAAATAAAAATAAGAAATGTTGCCAGGTCCTGGTGGTAAGCATCTTTAATCCCAGCACCATGGAAGCAGAGGCAGGTGGATGTCTGAGTTTGAGGCCAGCTTGGTCTACAGAGTGAGTTCTAGGACAGCCAGAGGTGCATAGTGAGATCCTGACTGGACACACACATACACACACACACACACACACACACACAGAGAGAGAGAGAGAGAGAGAG